AGTGGGCTTTGTCCAGCCCAGAAATGAGCACTGTGCTGTGGGGAGAAGACCAGCCTGAGCGCAGTTCCTGGCGTCTGTGTGGGTGTTTCACACAGCTGGTTGCAGTCATTCTCCATCTCTGCATTCTTATGACATGTACTTAATCCAGTACTTCAGCAGTAAGAGAATGAGTAGAATATGGGGCCGATATGGTCATATTTAATTCTTTCGTTCTCCTTTGAGAATGAAAAGCTAAGGGCAAATACTTGGATCTCTTAAGGAAATGATTTCACAAATACACAGAAAAAATGTCCAGTCAGAAAAGATGATTCTGAATTATTTAAGGTATAAGAAAGGATTTGCTAAGCTACATTCCAGTGTGAGGTGCAAAAAAAGTAAGCAGGCCTCCCCTAAACTCATTTCCTAGGAGATTAATAGAGTAGTGACTTATTTTGGTCCTATGTGGCTTATTAAATGTGGAACTATCCTGTTCATTTTCTTGTATGGAAGAACTTAAATTAGATACAACAGATGACTAGGAACAAACCATACATAGGCTGCAACTTCTGGGGATATGTCCTACAGAAATTCTAGGAATCAAAAGATTTGTCCCAAAGGCAGACATATCCAGAGTGGCAATAAAAAAAACCTGACGAGAGAGGGCAAAAAAGAGCATCATGTAGTGTCAGACAGTGCCATAGGGGTGACACCAGTTGGCTGACCCAAGTCTTTTGCTGAAAGCAAGGTAGGAACTGGCTTAAGAAGGCTGAGCTAATTATTTGTGAAGGATAGGCAATGACTGAGGATTTCTCTTGGGATACAGCTGCCTGATTTGTTTTCGGTTGCAGTGGAGCAGTCCTTGGAACTGATGCCAGGAGTTATGGAGTCTATTGTTTTCTAAATAATGTTTCCATGACTGGTTGCTAGGATTGGGTATGTGCCGAGTGTGCACCGGGTGGTGACCGGGTGGGCAAAATAAAATGGTCTGCCTGGGTTGCTATGGCAGCCAAAAGGAGGGCAAGTCTGGTGAGAAAATGAAGCCAAGTGATGCAAAGACGAACACTGCAGTAGAAACCAACACGAGCACGTCTTTGTTGGTTACGGATTTATCCAGTGCCATAAACCTTCACCGGTCACCCCCGTACCAGCTCCAGTGCACTGTTTCCAATGGGCCTCCCTGACTACCATCCCGTCTCTCCTGTTTGCTGTGTCTGCTTTGCTTTTTTTGCACTTGTCACAGCTGACACTGTTTGGGTCCATGTTTGTTTACTGTCTTTCTAACACGGAGGTATAAGAACCAGGAAAGCAGAGCCTGTCCTTTTTCCCAGTTAAGAGCCTGGTATTCAGCCTAGCGCAGAGTAGGTACTCAGTAAACATTTGCTAGATGAAGCACTATGCTGGCTGTGGTTGGACATTGTGTTTTATTTATTTCAGAGTTTTGAATTCCTGCCTCAAAAATACTGAACAAAAGTGGGCCACTATAAAGCAGAGAGGCTGTTCTTGCGAGCCCCTTCCTCCTCAGCTTGTTCACACAAGTCACCAGCCAGTGCGCAGCCATGGGTGGGAACTCTGGGCTCCTGTGGAGCTGCCCACCCTGAGGGTTACATAGGCAGGACCGGGACCATGGTAGCCTGAATATGGAGGGAAGTGGTCACAGATCCCTGGGATGCAGAACAGAGTCACTGTTGGGTATGAAGGGCTGACTGTATGCCCACTCCTGTTCTGAGCACTTTTATGTGCTATGTCATTTAATCCCCATCACTATATAGCAAGGGAAGTTTTGTTATTATACCCATTTTACAGATGAGAAAACTGAAACAGTTTAAGCAACTTAGCAAAGTTGACCTAGTTGTTCAGTGTTGAAGCCAGTATTCTAATGTACTTCATAGGATCGTAGAACTGAGATAATTAGTGAACTGTGTTTAGTTTGTACTAAGGAAGACTATACTCAGTAAATTTACTGTTTCCCTCTTGGTGCTTTTCTGAGCTCTTGATATTGTGGTATGCTGCTTCCCCATGAACTGCTCTTTTTAATTTACCTATTGAGGAAATAGAACCATCCTCTAATAAGTTTAATAATATAAAACACACAGGTACAAATGGGAAAGCCAGTGATAAAGAGTGAAATGTGTGACCCAGCAGATGGGAATGGCTGCCATACATTCTCGGGTGGCTGCCCCACTTGACTCAGGCGAGTGAACTGTCACAAGATTATAGGCTTCGGGCCAGTGATGTAGCTCAGCAGCACAGCACCTACCTGGCAAGCTCAAGGTCCTGAGTTTGATTCCTGGATCAAAAAAAAAAAAAAAGATCACAGGCTTCTGGTCTGAGTCTGGTGCTACATAGCTCTGAGAGTTTGGGTTTTCCACTTAGCGTCCACAGGCATCTGTTTTATCCTCTCTGTAGCTGAATCTGTGATACAGCAGCGTGGCGGGTGGACGCTTCTCCAGCACAAGGTCACACCACTCACACCCATTTGTGCTGTGTGTAGCCTGGACTGGACTACTCCATGCTGGCCTTGCAGCAGGGGTGCAGCACAAGAGCAGGAGGCCTGGCTGTGGAACAGCTGCATTCTTTTCATATTAATGCCTGCATAGCAGGTGCCCCCCCCCCAGTTTAATAAAACTTTGCAAAAACCAGAAAACACATCTGAGTGATTTTATTATTATATTCCAGAAACTTGCCATGAGTTAGAGCATTTTCCAATTTACACCAAGGTTTTGGCTGTCAAAACATACTAGGACTCAGGATCAAGGACCAGAGATCCATTTAACTCAGAGGTCAAGTGCTAGAATCAGCTAAGGTTCTTAACTTGGGGCACAGAAGCGGCTTTCCACCCCAGGGGACATCTGGCTACATCTAAAGATATTTCTGATTGATGCTATTAGCATTTTGTGGTTCAAGCCAGGAATGTTGCTAAACATCCTACAGTGCACACGATGACCCTTCGCAACAAAGAACTATCCGCCCCAAATAATAATAGTATTGAGATCGAGAAACCCTAAACCAAGGCAGAAGGAGCAGACGGATACTCTAATACCAGAAGTCGGGAGCTAGGCAGGCACACCGTGTCCAGAAGGTCAGGTAGCCCAAGGGAGGGAGTTCAGGTGCAGAGCTTTGGGAACCCAGCCCAGGATTAAGATTTAGGCCAGACCCATGGAAATTAGCACAGGTCACCACCAGTGGCAAGTGTCTAATGTGCCATCTGCTTTTGGAAGCAGGAGCCTCTTTTTATCTTTTGAGGTGCTTCCTGATGGGAGCGTCTTTGTTGTGCTCAAATCTGGCATCAAGCAATAGGCATAGTTCTAACATCTGATACTTGTTAAAAATATTCAAGATAAGATGGCTATCATTATTATTCTTTTCAAGTTTATTTCTGGGTCCTCTGAGACTGAGAGGAGTTCCGCCATATACAATAAGCACATGATAGTCTTCAGATTCCAGGGGTCACACCTCTTTGGCTGAGGAAAGTGGGGGTCAAAGCCAGAACATAGGTCCAGAGCAGAAGGGGGCGCAGGTTAGAGGAAGTAAGTGCCCAGAGCCCTTCCCATCAGAGCTGAAAGGTAGGAAGGAAGTGGTCCTAGAGGGGGTGAGTGGTTTAGACTCATAGTTCAGCACATAGGAATTTGGGAGAATTTTGTTATCTTTTACTGAAAAAACTTCATTAATGAAATTCATGGGTTTTGACAACAATAATTCTTTTTAAATAGGATATTCTATTTTATTTTCCTAACTTTATTGTGGCATAATTGATAAGTAATATTGTATATATTTAAAATGTATGAAATGATGTGATGCTTTGAGATATATATATTTCAATCAGTCAGGTTAGTTAGCATATCCACCACCTCACATAATTACCATTTTTGTTTGTTTTTGGTGTAGTGGAAATAATCAAGGTCTACTTCCTAGAAGATTTCAGAAAGTATGTGGTATAGTAGTATCCACTATAGTCGCCATACTGTATACTAGGTCCTCAGAACTTACTGTAATTGGAACTTCAGTGCCCTTTGGCCAGCATCTCATTTCATCCGTTCTCCAGCCCCTGGCAAGTGTAATGCTACTCTCCGCTTGTGGGGTCAACTTCCTAAGCTTCTAATTACAAGTGGAGCCATGCAGTACTTGTCCTTCTCTGTATGATTTATTTCACATAGCATAATGTTCTTGAGGTTCACCCAGTGGCTGCTCAGTTTGTAAAAAAAAAATTAAAAACTAAAATGCAGTAGAGGCTTTTCCAGCTAGTTGTTCCTAGACATTCTGGAAAGCACGTTTAGAAAAACCCAGCTCCTTGGATGAAGTTGGCAACTGCCTCCGTGTCTTCCTCTAGGCGTTGCCTGACAGATGGAAACAGGAAGCGTGTTCTCCTGAAGAACAGACTTCAAAAGTCACCACAGACACAAATGTGTGTTTGAGAAGCACTATACTTTAACTTCCTAAAGCCCACCTTTTAGAAAATGGTTGTGAACCTAAGAGCGAACTCTCCTTTCTGTGTACATTTAATTTCCAAAATAGGTGTTACAGGGTCAAAAAGATCTGAAATATTACTGGATGTCCTACTTGAATATATATTTATAAAGGTTTACATCAATAGGAACAAGTAAGATTAAGATGATGTACAATATGATGGAAGGGAGGAAATATTTTCAATCATTCTGCCAAGGTAGTGTTTGTTATATAAAATATAGGAGCACTTATAACTTTAAAGGAGCACTAAACTGATAATGGATAAACAGACATAGTAATTACCATATACTGAATGTTTGCTCCATCTGTGTGTTAGTTTTTTAGCGTTGGAGATTGTTTCATTTGATTCTTAAACAGCATACCAGGGATAGATGTGACTATCCATATTTGACACATAAGGAGCCCTCATTTTAGAGAAGGCAATTAACTTGCTCAAGAAAGAAAACACAATTGGCTTTTGGAAATATTTAACCTTCCAATAAAGAAATGCCAGTGAGGCACTGGTTTATATCTAAGCAATGAGCAGAAAAGCAGAAGTTGCGGAGCGTGCTGCTGACAGTGCGGTGGACGCAGGCGCACTGCAGTGCTGGGCTCACGGGGACTGGCAGTGGATGCTGTGTGAGGCAGGGGGATGTTGTGCTGCTCCTCCAGCAAGCCCATTCTTCAGAAGTTTTCTGAAAGGGAAAGTAAGTGTAGGTAGGTCGATAGAGGCTTTAGTAAGTTAGCAACTTTCTTTAAGAAAGAAGCAGTGAAGAGCACTGACATTTTTCTGAAGGCTTCATGGTACTCTTTACCAACAAGAAGCACAAAGACTCTTCACGACACTCCTCTGGTCAGGACTGCAGAACACAGGCTGTTTTGACAGACGTTGGAGAAGACCAGAGGGCAGGTTGGTGACATTTGAAGGAGCGGATCTAAGTATGATTCCCCTCCCCCCTTTTTAAAAAAAGCAAATTTTCCTCATTAGGCATGGAACTGGTTAGATCTTGCTGTGGGCAGGCTCTTGGCATTCTTTATGTTTTCTTCAGTGCACGGTAACTATAGTTTGTGATTGCATTTCCCCTCTCCTTACCTCCCCTTAATGCCCGCCCCGCTCCCCCCCGAGACTATATGGATCCTGTGAGAACACTACTCCTAACTCTAGTACTTCATTTCCTGCTGGTCACATACAGGCACCTAATAACAATCTCCTGAATAAGTGAGTGCATGTATTTTAGAAGTTGATACCTGTGTTTGTCTGTTGCATTCAAAACAGACACGTTTTTAAGGTGCCCTTTCCTGTTCTCTTCAAAGTTCAGCACACAGTGTTCTTCTCACTGAGCTTTGCCTTAAAAACACACATAAAACAATTTTTTCTAGACTGGGCATTTTATAATTTGACCTCTCCTTCCACTCTTAATTCTGTCTTTGATCAGCATCTGAGATGGTTTCCTTTTGATGGTTTCCATCACAGCCTGGTTTCCCAGTTGGAATCCTCCCTCTCAAAGCTCATTTCTACATGCAAGAAGTATTTATGAAGCCCCCAGTTCTGTCTCAGGCACTGTGAGGTGCTGGTTACAGAGTAAAGCTCATTCCTTTCTTGTTTCCTAGGAGCCCCCTGAGGCTTGGAGAAGGCAGATAATTATTTGCATATCCATGAGGTCAGATCTATAGCAATAGAGAGATGGACAAGGTGCTGGCAGGATGGGAGAGTCGGCAGTGGCTCTCAGATAAATGGTTGTTTTGTTCTTTATAAAAGGTCAGCGTCATCATTAGTTCATCACTCGAGTAACTATTGTTTGCATTTGTGTATGTGTGTGTTTTCATACTGTAGTTTCTAAAATTATGCATGAAGAATGAGAGATAATCATAAAAAGTAGAAAGGCTGGGCGTGGTGGCGCACACCTGTAATCCCAGCTCTCGGGAAGCTAAGGCAGGCAGATCACTGTGAGTTCAAGGCCAGTCTGATCTACATAGCAAGACCCTGCCTCCAAAAGACACAAACACACACACACACACACACACACACACACACACAATAGGAAACAAGAACCCTACACTGTAATGTCATGGAGAGAGAAACTGAGCTTCTGCGTATTTGGGGATGTTGATACTCCAGTGATGTGGGGATTAATCAGGGAAGGCTGCAGGGGATAGTGCGTATTTCTGCCCAAGGACAGGTGGCCGAATGATTGGACAAGAAGCACTGCAAGCAGGAGCGGTGCTCTGAACAAAGGTGTGGAAGTCGGAGCTAGTAAACTGCACAGGAAGTAGCAGTGGCTTGATGGAGCAACTGGAGATGGTGCAGACACACCCATCTGTGGCCTCTGAAAATCAACGATGTGATGAGGAAGGAAGGCAGAGTCTTAGAAGGGAAGTGGGGCATCGAAAAGGCTGAGCAAGCACTGAGGAGGGGAAAGGAGCAGTGGACAATTGTTGAGGACTGGAGAAGTGCTGAGAGCTGGAGAAGTGGAGTGCAAAGGACAGGCTGCCCCATGGCACCCTTGGGTGCCTGTGACAGCCCTGAGCAGTTGGGTCCTTGGAGACAGACCTGTGGAAGTGCCTGCTTAAGGGACACTGAGCTGGTAGTGAGAGCCAAGACAGTGGGGAATTGCGGAGGTAAAGACCCTAGAAACGTCGTCATCTGAGAATCTTGGCAAGAACAGAACACCATGAAGAGGCCATGGCAACGGTAGTGGTATCTAGGAATCAGGAGTGGCCATTTGCTTTTTGTGGTGCTGGGGATGAATCCTTTGCACTGAGCCACACCTTTTTAGTTTGTTTATTTATATAACAAGTTCTTGCTACATTGATAAAATGCTCCAGTTGGTTTTAACCATCCTGCCTCTGCCTTCTAGAGTACTGGGATTACAGACAGGTGCCACCACCCTCAGCTTCAGGATTGCTACAGTTAGGGAGAGACTTAAGTATGAGCGAAGGGATCCACAAAGAAGAGACATCTCCAAGAATGGCTCCCGTGGGCTGGGAGGAGGCTTGCACCCTAAATTTTAGGGCCTCGGCGCTCTATTTCAGTTCTTCTAGAGCTGTCCCCTTCAGAGTGTAAGGAAAATTCTATTTCTGCCTCAAAGTACAGAATAGAGATTTATACAGTAGACGGTGTAGGAGGGCAAAGGATAAACATTACTTGAAGGGTCATCCATGCCCAGGGCCGTGACCTCAAGGAAAAACCTGAAAAGAAACATTTTTTAGAGTAAATATGAGCTAGCCTTTTCCTAGTGATTGCATCTCAACAGTGATTTATTACTTGTTTGGAGTACATGAATAATGCACAAGACTGAATCTTGAGCAATATAAAATAGCTTGAACACATGCACTGTGTGAGCAGTATTTAATCTTAACCATCAGTTTTACTATTTCTGCTATTTCAACGAAGTAGCTGGTTCTAACTACAGCAGAGCAAAAGTCCCCAAAATACTATATATGACAGTATCAGGCAGAATATAAAACAGGATAGCTTTTCCTTATCAGATGAAATTACCCCAGACACAAGTTGGCGGTGCTGCGAAGCGGCAAGCGTTCTCCCTTTATTTCTTACTTTGGGTTGCCCACAGTGGCCTGCAATCATGAGCTGCTTCCCATAAGTGAATGCATGAGACCACTCACGGGTTAATTCCAGCACTGTCAAGCACGGTTTTCCCAAATAGTGTTTCGAAGTTGGCACCCATCTGACCTGTTAAAGCCCAGATGGCCAGAGACACTATTGTTTCCAAAAATGAGTTAGTGGATTCGGAAGCATGAGTGGGGCGCCTAAGAAACTTGTTTGTCTTTTCCTTTTCATAGTGTTCTTTTCCAGAGAATCTGCTGCTTTGGTCCCTTCTGAGTCCTCTCTTTCCAGGGTAGGGCAGACTCTGGCTGCCTGGTGAGGACCGTGCATGGTGTCCCTCAGCCCCCACTGCCTCATGCAGGGAACTAGTAAGCAGGCTTCCTGTTCACCTCACAGCAGTAACTGTTGCTGCTACACTTAGCCTGTGCCTTTGTTTTCTGCTTCAGTGTACATACAGCTAGAGCCTCCGCTCATGTCCCTGTTACCTAGCCCTGTGATATCTGTACGGACCTCCAGCTAATGTGTATGTTCTGCCCATTTTCTTTTCACTTTTTCCTTCCTGGAATGTGAACATGATTTCTAAAGATGTGGCATGAGGATGAATCCAGCTGTTAATGAGGCTTTGTGGAGACCCAAGAGAGTCCCATGCGGGACTGCCTACATCTAGGCTTTTCTTACATGAGAAAATGAAACCTTCTAATGTATTTCTGGTAACGTGCAGTTAAACACAGTTTAAATGAACAATTAAACTGTTTCATTTCCCAGTTAACTCTAGTAATGTTCTCCAAACATTTCTGATCACAGTGTCTATCAAAAAAATTTGAGCACATTGTATTTATAGATACTGTGTTCTTAGTTATCACAAATAATCACATGCATGTCTAATTTGTAATAGGTGCAGAGAAAATGGGCACATTAAATATAAAAATTTTAAAAATAATTTTGTATTTTATTATATTTACTGATGAACTGGAGTCCTTTTTACTGTCAATCCTGAGCAAAATAGAACAATATGTGATTTAGTATGCTTTCAAAATATATTCTTCAAAATTTTGGAAAATCTTACACTTTGTGATGGTAGGATGGGAAGGCTTGTCTCCAAGATTAATTTACCTCTATGCTTTGTTTTATTATCTGTAAAAGCTGGAAAAGATACCTCACAAACATAGATTTTTCATAATAAGTGGATCACTGGCTGAACTTACTATCTCTAGGCAGTCATTTTTCAGTTCCACCCATCAATAATGCAGTTTTTCAAAATTAAATGTGGCCATAAAATCTTCCTGATAACTTTTCTACGAACTAGTTGGGAGTAATGCTCTTCATATTCTTAATAATTAACTTGAAGAACCATAGAACATTAGCATATATTTCAAGAATCAACATATACTTACAGTGCAGTTCATTTTTATCAATGGTAGATACAGATCCATATTTCAATTAACAAAAAAAACAAAACTAATTGCTGTGGTCAGATCTGATAAAATCCTCATTGATTCTAGCTTTTAAGTGGCGGATGAAGAGCTCAGACTAGAAGTGTTGGCTCATTTACTTGTGTTTACATTGCTACTCTTGTCAATCTGTGGTTTCTTTGCTGCAATTTTTCTAAGCTAGTTGCCCATTTTGTAAGAGTTAATAGGCTACCTAATATAATATGCAAATGTTTTAATGAAGTCCATATAGACTGCAATATCAAAATATGCTGAAATTTTACTATTCATTTATGTAATGATGGCCTTTTGCTTTGGCACAGTGGTATTAGTTTAAGAAAATATTTGGTGAACCTGACTGGTGTAAAATGCTGGGAAATTCTAACATACTTCTAGAGTTGAAAACACGTGCTCATTACAAGTTAGAACTAACTGGTAATGCACTTGAGAGTATATGGAAGAAAGCAAGACTCAGAGTGCTCAAACAGAAACAGCTTTGTTCTTATACCCCAGCCATTTCAGATCTGCCTCGTGCAACTGTTCTTCCTTCTCTTTGGATGAATACTGGAGTGAGTTCCACAACTTGTCTGGTTACTTGGAAGATAAAATATCCTCCGCTATCTCAAGTAAAAACATAGTCACATTTTACAGTTAAAATGCCAGGTACCTTGTAAACTCATTTTAGT